ATCACCCCACTCCGGATTATGTCAATAATCCAACATCAAATCAACTGATAACAGGTGAAACTCGGTGGTCAGCCATCATCTCACTGGGCTTAAGGGATGGTTGCTTAATCCAAAGGGTGAGCACCAATCACCCCACTCCAGCATTAGTCAGGCAACGGGGGACATTCAACATATTCCATAATTATACCATATTATAGAAAGACAGACTGTGTATACTTCTCATTCAACCCATCTGGGTGAACAGTTTGTAAAGTTCTTATCCAATACAGTTCCCATTGGAAAAGCATTCTTTTGCGATCACCACCTCACCTAGGGGAGGAACATGATCAATGGCCATCAATTTCAGAATGGTAATGTATGCCCCAGTTCCAAAAAATGTTTCGCCACCGGAAGTTCTGTTTTGTTATCCCTATATGCAATTTTTATACTAGACCTATGATTCCTGATCCGTTCCCTCAACGGTAGGCCGATCTTTCCAATATAGGCCAATCCACAGGGACATAACATTTTGTAGACCACAAAATTGCTTGTGCACGTTAATCGATGTGGTATATGATAATGCCCAGTGTGTGGATGTGTGAATGCTTTCCCTGGAATCATGTGTCTGCAAGTAACACAACCCAGGCAACAATAACAGTTCTGTGGTGTTTGTTCCTTAGAATAACAATGTACTGGGTATACAAAATTTAAAAATCTTGCACTCCACATATTCAGTACCTTGCCAGGTGCTCATCAGGCCAAATGCATAGAAAATACTCCAGATAGGACTCTCAGGACTTGTCAGAAAATAAAACTTACCTTTTAATTAGCTTTCCATAAAAATCAACGTTTCAGTTTGTTACACACACTTTCATCAGGGCTAACTTCCACAATACAAACACTTCCCTATATACATACACACATACATACATACAATCAATCAACTTACTCACCACGGCAACACAATCAATTCCCTGTCAGCCCGGTCTGGAGCTCACACAGGATCGTACCTCACCACGCGGGACTGGGATCCGTGGCATCATTGGGAAGACGTTATTGAATAAAAAAATAACGTTATAATTGTTAAAAATTATTTAACTTCACAATAGCATTACTTGTATAATACTAGGGCTTAATGGATTAACAATAATTGAATCCACAGCGATCTCAAAATAAATACAATATATATCTCACATTGTGAATGTATTAACCCTTAAGATACCCATTTCTTGTCGAAACATACATCCTTTTTTCAATTTTGTATGTATATATATATATGTGTGTGTATATATATATATGTATATATATATGTGTATATATATATATGTGTATATATATATATGTGTATATATATATATATGTGTATATATATATATGTATATATATATATGTATATATATATATATATATATATATTATTGGCAACCAGTGCTTCTATAGAAGTGATCCAAAAAAATGAGGTGTAGGGCTAAGGGTCAGTTTCTAGGTTCCCTATGTAAAACAAGTTTGCTGCAACCATAGCAGATTATTATTAACTTCTTTTTATTTATTTTTTAAGCTTATTGATAGATATGGCGTACGGTTTTAAAAGACATATTGTGTGTGTATATATAGTAGGAAGTAGTTACTAAGTTACTTAGTATTCATTAACACTCCTCTGAATCGTGTCTTGGCTCTATAAATATGGCACATACTATTTACACTAGGAAGACCTTAGGCATTGCCATATTAAAGTAATAATAAAATATTGTGTAAGTTGCTAAGTCATAAGCCATAGAGAAGAATTGAGTAGCCAAATGGAAAAAGTGTGCAAAGGAGAGAGAAAAGAAGCAGAAGAAAAGGAAAGGGATAGAATATGGGTCATGAAAAGAAATAACCTCTGTTTTTAATCTTTCAAGATTCTTTTCTTTCAGGAAGTGTTCCAGAGTATTGGAGGAAGGCAGATGTGGTTCCTATATTCAAGAAGGGTTCAAAATCCTTGCCTGGAAATTAGACACGTGAGCTTAACTTCTGTGGCTGGGAAAATATTTGAAAGGTTATTAAGGGATAATATTCAATAATTCTTTGAGAAGAACATGGTTATCAGCATAAAACAGGATGGTTTTATGAAGCACAGGTCATGTCAAACTTGATTGCGTTCTACGCAAAAGTATAGATCAGGGTGTTGCAGTGGATGTGATCTATTTAGATTTTGCCAAGGCATTTAATACAGTTCTACACAATAGATTAGTGTTCAAACTCGAGGAAATTGGTCTAGATGCAAATTCTTGGGTAGAACATTGGCTTAAAAATAGAGTACAAAGAGTTGTCATTAATGGTAAATTTTCAAGCTGGACAGAGGTGGCAAGTGTTGTCCCTCAAGGTTCTTTTCTAGGACCCCTTCTATTTAACATGTTTATAAATGATCTTGAAAAAAAGCATTGAAAGTCATGTTTCAGTGTTTGCAGATGACACAAAACTTTGTAAAGTAATACAATGTGAGCAAGATATTACTTTGCTGCAGAGGGATTTAGATAGACTGGGGGACTGAGCACTCAAATGGCAGGTGAAATTTAATGTTAAAAAAATGCAACGATATGCACTAAGGCGTAAGGAATGCACAAACAACGTACACCCTTAATGGAAGCAAATTAGAGATAACAAGATATGAAAAGGACTTGGGAATTGTTATATACCATAAACGATGCAACAATGTCCAATGTCCATCAGCAGTGGTTAAGGCCAGTAAGGTATTGTCATGCATGAAAAAGGACATTCATTCTCGGGATGAGAATATAATTTTGCCTCTTTATAAATCGCTGGCAAGACATATTGAATATGCTGTGCAATTTTGGGCACCTGTTCTAAAGAAGGATATTATGGCACTAGAAAAAGTGCAGAGGTGGGCTTCAAAATTAATAAAAAGGAATGGAACATATCAGCTAAGAAGAAAGGTTAACAAATTTAAACCTCTTTAGTTTAGAAAAACATCGCCTGAGAAGGGATATGATAACATTATACAAATATATTCGGGGCAGTACAAACCATTATCTGGAAATCTATTCATAAACAGGGCTATACATTGGACACAAGGTCACACATTTAGGGTGGAAGAAAGGAGATTTCATCTAAGACAAAGAAAATGTTTTTTTGCAGTAAGAGCAATAAGAATATGGAATTCTCTGACTGAAGTGGTTTTATCAGAGTCCATACAGATGTTTAAACACTAACTAGTTGCATACTTGCAAAAACAGTCTTTAAGGATATTATTTTTCAATGTAGGATAATAGCTTCTTGATCCAAGGATAAATCTCACTGCCATTCTGGGGTCAAGAAGGAATTTTTTTTCCTAGTTTGTCACAAAATTGGAAGTGCTTCAAACTGTTTTTTTTTTTTTGCCTTCTTTTGGATCAACAGCAGAAAACAAATGTGCGGAAGGCTGAACTTGATGGACGCAAGTCTTTTTTCAGCTCTGTAACTATGTAAATAGTCTGCGTGAAGATCTAATAACAGTGTGTCCCGCTGAGCAAGCAAAAGATTTCCCGGGACAAACCAGAAGATCTGAATTCTAGAATGTGCGGCTAGTGGACAAGAATACAAAAGTAATAAAAGCAACCTTAATCAAATTAAAACTATTCAGCCTCTTCCTCCAATGTAAAGGAGGCAAGAGAACAGCAAACTATATGCACAGCAAGGTAAGAAAGCCAGAGGACCACATTAGAGAATTTAGTGAGCAGCTCCACCAAGATGTGATAGTCTTCCCTCTTCACCGGTGAAATGGACAGCATGAAATTAGCACAATTGTGTAAGCTAGTTCAGGCATAGAGGACACTTGGAAACCCACCTGACCAGCTTGCCCCTCCATCCCACGTCCAAAGGGTACCTTGGCCAGCAGCCTCCTGCACCTCCATTTGGCCAATAAAGTCTCAGCATACATTTACAAGTGGCCCCAAATATCTCCCATCGATAATGTCTGCTACATTATCCCAGACCAGCAGGGTTCACAGCAAAGGGGACACTTTCCAGACCCTCCACCAAGACCCGAAAATGGATGCCCCTCCATTTCATCACCGATCACATCCAGCATCTTGGAAATAGGATGTCAGTCTGTAGGACTGTAAGTAAGCAGATTTTGATCAATGACTATTGTAGCAAGACGTATAAACTGGGCAAAGGCTTGTAACAGTGGTTAAGCCCAACTTGTAGAGGAGCTCCCTGTACCCCAGCTGGGTATCTCCGCCAAGAATTGCTTCCTAGCTGGAACCAGGGACCTCAGCGCTTCTGCCCCAGTTGCCATGACTCCATACAATACAAGCACCACCCAGGAATCTCTAGGCCTGGGAGATTATTGAGTTAAAGACTGTAAGCCAATTATCTCCCAGGAACAGAGAGACAAAAACATAAAAGTACCCCCAAAACATGATAATAACATACAATAACCCCACATATCCTACATCCCCAAAAAGCCCTGATCTGATGATCCAAATAGCGCTCATATCCATGCAGTGTAGGGAAAACGCCACTGGGGCAAAGTTATGACTGGCTGCACACGTGGTCCTAGCCCAAAATAGTTCCAGAGCGTTTGATGTTCCTCTTAGCCTGAGGCACCTTCCCTCCAAAAAGTGCTCTTCTGGTGGTCCAAAACCCCGGATCAAATTGTCCAGGAACCGCAAGGTCACCTAGTTGAAAACAGTTCCATAACATTCGCTGCTAATTACCGGGAACCACGAGGTCCTCATGCCAAAATTAGTTCCATAGCGGTCTGCTAAGTATTGCTGAGGATGTTTTGTGGGTTTGTTCATGCGAACAGCCGCCAGGGAGCTAGCGTTCGGTTCCATTCGTGAGAAGGGAAAGTGCTGAACCAGGAGCACCGAGGGAAAGCTGCTAATGACACTGTGATAAAACCATACATTCATGAAATAAATTATTTATAGGGGATAGTGCCTGATACACAGATGATTTGTACAAATTGAATTTTTGATGTCATTACATCAATTTGATTTTTGATGTCATTACAGTTGTTTAGATCTTGGGGCAGTCATCCTGACATGATTTGAATGATTGATTCCCCATTGGTTGGGGAAGGGGGTATCTCCAGCTTCTGTATGTAGTGTTAAAAAAGGTTAGTGTAGGTTTGTCAAACTTAACCCCATATTTGGTCTACTTAGTCTGGTAGAGAGTTAAGGGAGTTGTAGTTTAACAAACCTGCTCCAACCTCGCTTTTCTTTACTCTTTTTGAAGCAGGCAGGACATATTATTTTCCCCCAAATCAGTTGAATTAATAGAGTACTTATAATGCAAATAAAGTAAAGATTGCTGCCACCAAAATGGACATATTTGGAACGCTGACTGTTCCGTTATATCATGGTTCTCCAAATTCTGGCACTCCAGATGTTGCTGACTCCCATGACTACAACTTCCATGATTCTCTAGCTATCTATTGCAAGGAGTCATGGGGATTGTAGTTCAACTACTTCGTAAGGGCCAGAGTTTGAAGAAACCCATGTTTAAAGGGTTCTTCTAACCTTTTTTTTTCCCCCTACCTGTTAGAATAATGCCCTATTGCAGCGGTTTTCCAAACCAGTCCTCATATCGCACCAACAACCTAGAATTGTATGTATTCCCCCTTTTTATTCCAGTGGAGATACTAGCAAGACATGGACTGTTGGTGGGCCATGAGAACTGGCTTGGGCATTATTCTTTAGGTCACCCCTCTAAAAAAAAAAAAAAACCCTTAAGGACAGAACTGCAATTTGCATATTATATATCATTTTTTTAAAGGACTTTAATTTGATGTAAGACTATATATAAATATAAATGCTTATATATTATTAAAAAAAATACAGAAAAATGCAAAAAAAATAAAAAATGTGGGTTTTTTTGTTTTTTTTTACAGTTTTTACAATAATAATGTGTGCATAATTAGTGAAGGTTAAGAAAAGTAATTAAAAATAAATTCATTTAGTTGTTCTGAAAATTCTCATGTGTATTTTGTAAAGTTGGTGTGTGCTATTCCTGTACAAAGTTTTATTCTGTGTTCAGTTACTTCTGCTGAGTAAAATGACACCTATGTGCAATTTCCAAGCATCTTAGCAGGGTTTAAATTCAAACTACCCCACAAAGGCCTACCATTTCTTAAATATTTTGAACCTTAACGTGGGATCATTTTTCCGCTAGCTTGTACCAAGTGTAGTGGTAATAAGTGTTTTTTTCTGCCTTTTTGACACACAAAGTGAGTTTGCACAGTATATTTTGCAAACCTTATATGTGCTACCAGTGTATAATACTTCATATGTTGGTTAGCTATGTCGGCTGAGTACAGCAATACCACCGTATGTACCTTTGCCAGGTATATGTGGATGTTGAAGGGGTGCATTTGAGACGCAGCCATTCAGTTTTTATCTCACTTTGAAGTTTTATGCTGTGTCCATGTTCCAATTTGGAGTAGTTTAGACGGTTGGTTATTGAAACCTCCCCACAAACACATACTATTTATTAAAGAATACACCCTGGGGTAATTCAAAAGGCATATTTTGAACCTTGGCATGGGATCATTTTCCCTCTAGTTTGTTCCAGGTGTAGTGATAATGAGCATTTTTAAATGTATTTTTTTTACTTTTAAAAACGAGTTTTTAAACTTTTGTTTTGCTTATTAATTTTTTTTAAAGTTTCCTAAACTTTCTTAAAACTTTTTTTACAGATTTAACATTTTTCTAAGCTTTTTTTTTTTACCGTTAACCCCTAACTAGCAGTAAGCAGCACTAACAGTAAATTCCCCATTTTCCCATAACTCCCACACACCCCAGCCAGCAAAATATGTCATTGTAAAATATTTAAATTCATTAATTAAATAAATTTAACCCCTGAGGGTTAAAAAAAAAAAGAATTAACCCTCAGGGGTTAAAAAAAAAATCAGATGACAGTAAAATGTAATCCCTGCCAATTGATCACTGTAGTCAGTGATCAATTGGCAGGGAAGGGGTTAAATTTTAATTCAAATGAGTAAAGGGGGTGGGATTTTAAATAAACTTTATTTTTATTTTTTTACCAGGGGGCAGGATCATCACTGATCCGTCTCCCTGCACTTCACACAGAACCAGGAAGTGCAGGGAGGCGGAAGGTAAGTTTACTAAGCACATGTGCTCGCTCTGACATGCTGTAACATGCTGTCAGAGCGAGCACATGTGCTGGGCAGCACTATCGGGTGCTCCCGGTCTGCCTCTAATACAGAGGCAGACCGGAGCACTATTAACCCGCGATCACGGCGATCTGGGGTTATTTTACCATGTGACTCGTCGTCCGTCACTCGTCGTTAAGGGGTTAAATTTAAAGTAACACTATAGGGTCAGGAAAACAAACATGTATTCCTGATCCTATAGTGTTAAAACCACTATCTAGCCTGCTCCCCCTTGCCTCCCTAAATATAGTAACATCTTACTTTTATTCAAGTCTGCAGCTGCTGCCTATGCCCCTAATCAGCCTGCTTGGCTGACATCATCAGAAGTGTTAGTCTGAGCCAATCACAATGCTTCCCAATAGGATTGGCTGAGACTGTCAAGGCGGTAGATCAGGGGCAGAGCCAGCACAAGCCAAACACAGCCCTTGCCAATCAGCATCTCCTTTATAGAGATGTATTGAATCAATGCATCACTATGAGGAAAGCTCAGTGTCTGCATACAGAGGGTGGAGACACTGAATGGCGGTACTGCACAGTATGCAGCATTGCCCCAGGAAGCACCTCTAGCAGCCATTTGAGCAGAGGCCAATGAAGGTATCCTTAGGCTATAATGTAAACAGTGCCTTATACTGAATTATACTCACCAGAACAAATACAATAAGCTGTAGTTGTTCTGATTACTATAGTGTCCCATTAAAGTACAAATTCCATGACTTTCTTTTTCAGGTTTACTGAACAAATTGTACTGTAAGTGTGCCACATTTGTTCAGGTTATTCCAATATGTTCATGCATTTAGAATATGCTATAAGTACTCCTAGTGACAGAAGGCTATGTTTTACATGTTATCTATCAGACTGACTTCTACTAATTATATATGGGAGTTATTTGGTAAAACTGTGGAGGGCTGTTATGATATTCCCTGCTTTGACATGTGGCTGTTAGATGATGCTAATTCTCTCTTTGCACCATTGAACAAATAAACATATTTAGGAAGGAGCCTTGTTGCCTCCTTCATCTTAAAGTCTATAAACATTGGTTTAGTCAACAGGTTTCAGTTTGCTGTGTTGTCTAATTTCAGCCACTGGTAAGCAAAGATTTAAACAATTTCCCCTCTTGCATGTGTATGTACCTGTAGATGGTATTTGTTACTGAACAGGACTGAAGCTTTTGTATATTTGATGTTAAAACGGGCCTTATCTTTATCTGAGAGGAGATGTCATCTCTCTGGAAATTGCAGGGTATGATAAATCAAAATAATCTGTAACTTGTTCACCCCCCATTGGATGCTGTATTTACATTCAATCATTAAAGATTTGGCAACTGACGTCACAATCTAGTTCAGTCCAGGACTCCAGTCACATCCAGGGCACACTTTATGTTGCAGAAGAAGAAACAGAATCCTTACTGTGTTTGATGACAGACATGGGCAGAACGTAGAGCAGTGGTTGGCAGGGAGCCAGTATGGAGGCGCACAGTTCTAGGAAAGAGCAGTGTGGATTACTAACTTAATGTTTTTCTCATACCTAACAAACACTATAGGGATAAGGTATAATATTCACTTTTTATTTACTTTTCAAAACCATTTATTTGAATAGCAAAAAAAAATCAACATAAACTTCTTGTAAAGGTTGTGCACAGTTTTACATACACAGAGCTGCGTTTTGTGTTACGAAGATCAAATCTGCATGATTCATTCGTTCTGTAACTTACCTCCTTCTCTTATTCCCCTTTCAAAGGCCTCTAGACCCAATTCTTTTTATATTTATATATATATATATATATATATATATAAATTTTTTTTATTGTACAAGATGGTAGTGACATTGTACAGAAAAAGGTATATATTGCAACATTTTTAATGAATCAACTTAATATTTACATCAATGTCATGTAGAAGTAGTACAGTTAAATGTTATGGGCTGTGGGGCTGTGGGTTGAACTGCTTTCATCATATTACTGAGCGGTTTGACTGAACGGACGTCTAAGACCGATGTTAATCTGAGGTATGACATCGCCCCTGAGTCCATTAGAAAGTCATATGAGCATGTGCGGTTCCTGGTGGGAATATGGGGTTACTGGTCAGTGGGTATAGGGGAGAGGGGTATAGGGCCATCGAGGGCAACTTTCTGTTTCAGATGTGTAGAGTAGGCGTGATGGTAGGGTGTGGGGATTGGTGCTGTATAGTGAATGCAGTGATGCATTGATTCAATACATCTGTATGCCAAGGAATTGTGTATATTGTGCTTTGAAAGAATGAATCTTCCAGAATCGCCCATTGTGTCTGAGATGTCGGGTTGGTCATTGTGTCTGAGGTCTCGGGTTGTACCATTGGGTAATAAATATAAAAGAAACAAATTTAAACCAATGTGGGCATTTAAATCAGACAAGACAGATGCATCCTATAAAAGATATAAGGAAGCCAATAATGTGTGCAAAAAGGCGATTAGATTCCCTAAACTTCAAAATGAAAAAATGATAGCCAAAGAGAGCAAAACGAACCCCAAAGCATTCTTTAAGTACATAAATTCTAAAAAAAATTAAGTGTACACTAAACACTGGAATGCCGGTGTTAGTTAATGAAGACCAGGAAAAGGCAGAAATCTTAAATAACTATTTCTTCCCCGTATATACTAAGGAAGAACCCATGACAATACATGTGCAAATGATTGCTGCTAAAAACTAGCAGAATAAGTGTAATATGTTTACATTAGGGTTAATCCAGCCTCTAGTGGCTGTCTCATTTACAGCCGCTAGAGGCGCTTCTCACTGTGATTTTCACAGTGAGAAGACGCTGCCGTCCGTAGGAAAGCATTAAGAAATGCTTTCCTATGGACTGATTGAATGCGCACGCGGCTCTTGCCGCGCATGCGCATTTGGCGGATGATATCGGAAGAGGGAGAAGAGTCCCCAGCGCTGAAGGAGCCCGGCACTGGAGAAGGGTAAGTGTTTAACCCCTCTTGAGCCCGGCGGGATGGGGACCCTGAGGTTCTTCCCATGGGTTCTTCCTTAGACCTATTAACACTATAGTGCCAGGAAAACAAGTTTGTTTTCCTGGCACTATAGTGGTCCT